CCTACAGCCACATCTGCTCCCTGACACACTGCCTCTTCCGAACAACTCTAGGTAAACCAAGTGTGGGAAGCGTCTCGTGCAGACTGTACACCCACAACACCCCCATGGCTCTTGTCTCTGCCCACAGGAGAAAGAAAAGAAATACATGCTGTCTGTGGACAACCTAAAGCTGCGTGACGTGGAGAAAGGCTTCATGTCAAGCAAGCACATCTTCGCCCTCTTCAACACGGAGCAGAGGTGCCTGCCCAGCCACCCCCACTGGCAGAAGTGGGGTGCATAGTCCATGCATCAGGAGAGGGAGCCTGGGGCTCACCCAGAGCCGTTCATTTAGCAGACAGTTACTAAGTATCTACTTGACCTGGGGTCTCCTTAGCCACCCCCCTTTCCATTCTCTTCTTTCCTCCCTCCTTCCCATTTTGTCCTTTCTTTCCTTCCTTCCTCCCTCCACTTCTCCCTTCCTCCTCTCTCCCTTTCACAGTCACTTGTCAGGGCCTGATCAGCATAAGACCCTGCCTGGGAACAAATAAGAGACCTGGGCAGCCTCATTCCCATCTGGTGTTGCCCAGGTGTCCATTGGACCAGGCCGTTCACCACCCCACCCCAGCCCTTTCTCTCTCCTACGTGGTGTATGGGGGGGTCCTTAGAAGGCTAGAGGCAGGGCTAGGGGGTCTTCACTGTCTAATGGGTGTCCCTTTTATAGGAGCTCAGTCCCTTTCTAAGCATTTTACTGCTCTTTCATTGAAGCCTCCCACTGACCATGGGAGACAGGATCTGTTATTTTTTGTTTTTGTTGTTTTGGTTTTTGGAGACAGGATCTACATATGTAGGCCAGGCTGACCTCAGACTTTCAGCAGTACTCCTGTGTCAGCCTTCTAAGTGATGGGATTGCAAGCATGCACCCCCACAGCCAACTTGGAACTATTATTAACCCATCTTCCAGATGAGGAAACTGAGGCCTGGAGAAGAGACTTTCCCTGGGTCCCATAATTAGGAAACAAGAAAGTCAGGGTTGGGCCACAGGCATGATGACACCTAAGTCCAGGCCTTCCCTCAACCCCAGAGAAAACCAGGACCCCTCCCACCTTCTCTCTACCTGTCCTGTCTTGCAGGAACGTCTACAAGGATTATCGGCAGCTAGAACTGGCCTGCGAGACACAGGAGGAGGTGGACAGCTGGAAGGCCTCCTTCCTGCGGGCTGGCGTGTACCCTGAGCGTGTTGGGGTGAGCAGGAGGCTGGGAAGAGAAAGGCACCACCCTCAGAAATCCAAGTCATGCCAGGCTTCTGGGCCCTTCCATGGCTGACGGAGAGCTGGCATCTCCTACCCCCTGCCTGCCCTGGGGCAGGAGCAGAGTGAGGCCTCAGCATCCCAGACTGTGTGGCAGCAGTTCTGCGCGGTCCCCCACCTGCCATGCCTGCACCTGTCACATGACGGCAGCATCCAGTGCTGCCCACCCTTTCTCCTCTTTCACTGGGCAATGTCTAGAGCTGCCTCAGAGTTGGGGTGCAGGGTCCAGGTGCACTCAATGCCTCTCCCTTTCCTCTCTTTCTGTTTCTGCACCCCTGGTGGCGGTGGTGGTGGTGGCGCTGGTGGTGGTGACAATGCTGGTGTGCTGGCCTCTGTGGCTTCCTGTGGGCCTCCTAGGACAAGGAGAAAGTGAGTGTGCCCCTCCTTTGCCTCCTGCCAGCTGCCTCCAGCCTGGCACGAGCTCTGACCTGGTCTTCAAGCAAGGGAGTTTGGAGATGTCCCCTTCTAACATCTGCACTGGGACACTGAGGCAGTTTCTAAGCACTGGAGTCAGAGCTGAGACAAGGGCAACTGAGAGTCTGGGGTCTTGAGGCACACAGGGTAGTCAGCCTGACGTCCTGGGGCCTGGGCCCGGTCACACTGATATCCTTCTGTCCCCAACGGCAGGCCAGTGAGACAGAGGAGAATGGCTCAGACAGCTTCATGCACTCCATGGACCCCCAGCTGGAGCGGCAGGTAGAAACCATTCGGAACCTGGTGGACTCCTACATGGCCATTGTCAACAAGACTGTGCGGGACCTCATGCCGAAGACCATCATGCACCTCATGATCAACAACGTACGTGCACTCGCTGGGGCCCAGGGTGGGAGCTGTGGGACCAGGCCTGGGAGATGCTGAGCAGGGCCCATCACAGCCATGCCTAGGCAGGAGGCCAGGTCCACACCAGAGCTGCCTTGGAGAAAAACAGTGTGGCTTAGTCTTTAACTGTACGTTTTATAGTAGTAAGGCCTTGTCTCAGAAAGAAAAGGGAAGGAAGGGAAGGAGAGAGGGAAGGGAGGGAGAGAGGGAAGGGAGGGAGGGAGGGAGGGAGGGCTGGGGAGATGGCTCAGTGGAATAAGCGCTTCCCTGGCAAGTGCAAGAGCCTGAGTTCAATCCCCTGTTCCTCGAAAAAAAAGAAAAGAAAGAAACACAAATGATGGAATCTATGTGTTTGGAATGAGGGGGAGTATTTTGAGGAGGGTTAATGGTAATGTGTCACTTATTGTAATTTTTTTTCAATTTAAACATTCACTGTATTTTTTCATTCACACCTCGTGAAAAGATGGCCTGGGTATGCAGTTCAGTGGTAGAATCTGCAGTTAGTGTGCCCGAAGCCCTGGTTTCTGAGTATGATCCTCAGCACTATAATTTCTTCGTGTTTTGGTTTTGGTTTTGGTTTTGGTTTGCAGAGTGAGATAGGGTCTTGCTATGCAGCTCAGGCTGGCTTTGAGCTCATTTTGCAGCCCAGGCTGGTCTCAAACTTGCAACAATCCTCCTGCCTCAGCCTCTTGAGTGCTGGGATCACAGGCACATCACACCTAGCTACAACTGTTTTTTAAAGGCTTAATTTTAATAATGTATATTTTAAGCCCAAGATACCCAAAATTATTTTTCAACATGTAAACAGTCCAGAAAGCATTAATGTGATATTTAATATACCCTTTTTCACACAAAGTTTTCCAGATCCTATTCAGACATTGTTTCCATTGGAAATATTTAAGTGGGCTTTTTTTGTTGTTGTTGTTGTTTTGGTTTTGTTTTTGGTTTGTTTGTTTGTTTGTTTTTTGCTTGTTTGTTTTATGTATTTGGTACAGAGTCTCACTGTGCAGCTCAGACTCAAAGTGATCCTCCAGTTTTCAGCCTTCCTAGAGCTGGGATTACAGGCTTGCACCACCAGCCCCCACCTCGATTGCCAGGAGTTGGGCCCACATGGCATGGGATACCAGGGGATCAAACCCCCAGTCCCTGCATTTGCCTAACCAGGCGTTTAGTCCACTGAGCTATCTCTCTGGTCCTGGAAATATTTAGATTTTATGAAAATTATAGTTGAAGTCAGGGGAGGTGTCACAGGCCTGTCATACCAATACTCAGGAGGCTGAGGCAGGAGAATCACTGAGTTTGAGGCCAGCACTACATAGCAAGACTCTGTCTCAGAAAAAAAAATAGAGACACATATTTTACCCAATCCAGGCACATACTTATACCTGTTACTCTTTCTCAAGGGCTCACAACATTTTAAACTATCAGCTTCCTTCCAAAACTGAGTAGGCACGGGGCTGGTGAGATGGCTCAGTGGTCTAAAGCACCTACTTAGAACAAGCTTAGCTAAAGCACAGGGACCGCGGTTCAATCCCCCAGCACCACATGCCAGCCAGCCCCACCCCCTGGTGGGCTGAGCTGGCCACACACACACACACACACATAAATAAAAATTAAAAAAAAAAAAAACTGAGTAGGCAGATAGCTTAGTAGCACAGTAGGTTCTGGGCCACCTCTCAACAGTGGCTTCGATCGGGGACTTTTCCTTTGGGTGGCTCAGTGGAGAAAGGAGTAGGAAGTCTCCGAGGTCAGGTGCGAAACCGCCTAAGCTCAGCCCAGCGCACGGTCCAGCAGGGCCTGGTGGGGTGGGCATGGGGCCCAGGCGTCAGGTCCCAGCCACGTGCCCTTTTTGCCGGCCGTCCTCAGACCAAGGAGTTCATCTTCTCGGAGCTGCTGGCCAACCTGTACTCGTGCGGGGACCAGAATACGCTGATGGAGGAGTCCGCAGAGCAGGCGCAGCGGCGCGACGAGATGCTGCGCATGTACCACGCACTGAAGGAGGCTCTCAGCATCATCGGCGACATCAACACGACCACCGTCAGCACGCCCATGCCCCCGCCCGTGGACGACTCCTGGCTGCAGGTGCAGAGCGTACCGGCCGGACGCAGGTACCAGGGCCGGTCCCCACGGCCCCAAAGCCCCCCAGCCCGGGGCCCGCGGGAGGAGGGCCGGGACCGGGCAGTGGCGCGCCCGCGTCACCGGGTTGGCTCCCACCTGGAGCGAGGGGCGGAGCTTAGAAAGGGGCGGGGCTTTGCCGCGGGGCGGGGCTTGCCGTGGAGCGCTGGCTGTGGGGCGTAAGTGGCACATTGGGGGCGGGGCTTGGGCTCGGGCGTACACCTAGTAGCGGGTGGGGCGGGGCTTGCGTGCATGGGCGGGGCCTGCACTGGGCTGGAGGCGGGGCCTTGCGTCGGACCCGAGCAGCTTACCTCCGTATTCCCTGCTTTGTGTCGCCCGCAGATCGCCCACATCCAGCCCCACGCCGCAGCGCCGAGCCCCCGCCGTGCCCCCAGCCCGGCCAGGGTCGCGGGGCCCTGCTCCTGGGCCTCCGCCTGCTGGATCCGCCCTGGGGGGGGCGCCCCCCGTGCCCTCCAGGCCGGGGGCTTCCCCTGACCCCTTTGGCCCCCCTCCCCAGGTGCCCTCGCGCCCCAACCGCGCACCGCCTGGGGTCCCCAGGTGAGTAGGGGCTGGAGAGGCCTCCGTGCGGGCTGGCCGGGAGGGAGGTAGAGTCGGATCTAGAGACCCTGCAGGGTGGGCAGAGCCGGACCTCTCCGCCCCAGCGACCCGGACTGGGCGGAGGGCCCGCGGAGCCTGCCCCCAGGAAGCGCTGAGTCCCGGAGGCAGTCGTTTCTGGGTTGGAGGCTGTGGGCTTGTCCCACCTGCCCCTTTCTTTTCAGCACTTGCATGGCGCTTCTCTCTTTTTTCACTGCTGGCCTCCCACGTGTTGCGTTTCTCTTTTCTCCTCTCTCCTCTCATTCTGTGAACTCCTTTCCCCAGCCCCTGGCAACCTACCTCAGGACTTACGGGTCTGAGCCCTGATCCTTTCAGGACGTGTGGATGTCATTCAGTTACATCCAGAGGCTGCCTGATGCCCCACTCCCAGGCCCAAACTCTTTTGAGCAGTCCACCTGGTGTCCAGCCTCTGGCCTGTAAGAGACCAAGCTGTGACTCTGACCACTGCAAATTGTGTGTGAGCTGTGTGAGGTGCGTGTGGGCGTGCAGGCGCGAGTGTGAGTGTGGCACCCAGGCGTGGGATAGGACAGGGAGCGGCTGGAGAGGAGCCTGGGAGGCATGGGTGTCCTGGTGGCTTTTCCTTCCCCTGCCTCTGGCCCAGCCTGGCCTAGACCAACGTGGTGGGCTGGGGCTGGGCAGCAGTGCGTGAAGCCTGTCTCATTCCCAGAGATTTCTAGAGACAAGGGATATTAACTCTTCTCCTAGCGCCACACACACACACACACACACACACACACACACACAGTTGGAGAACTAACCAGGACCTCCATCACACAAGGTGCTAAACACCCTGTTATGAGCTGTATCTCACCCTGCCTTGCCCTCCTGAGCCCTTCACGAAAGTTCCCATATCTGACTCAAGTCTCCCCAGCTTGCACAGCCCCTGATCCCTGAGGAAAAACACATTCGACCAAGAGTGTCACTTATGTCTCCAGGCGGCTGGAGGGTAGGGGCCATGTCACAGGGACTTGCCCTCTAAGGACCTGATAGGCAGCATGGTAATGGTCAAGGACACTAGACAGACTTCAAAGATGCTAGTTCATCCTGGCCCTTCAAGATACCCATTTCCTTTCCAGAGCTTCAGTTTCCCTTCCCTTCCCAAATAATAATCTTTTGCCTTTCTCCCATGGTTGGTGTGGGGATCAAGGGACACAGTGATTGTATGGCTATACGAACACTTTGCTAACTGCCAACGTACGTTCAGATGCTTCCAGGTGTGTGCTGAGTTGTGACTCAGGGAACTATGATTTAGCACGTGCTCTGACTTTGGTCTAACACAAGGGAAACATCTGCCAAATGGAGTTGAGGTCCTGCAGGGGGAGGCAAGCAGCCCAGAAGTGAACAGTTCCTCACGGCAGCCTGACCAGTGGAATCCATGGCATGATGGAAAGAATAAGGCTCAGGCTGGGCAGAATGGGAGGGCATTCTGTGGGGAGCAGCAGTCTGGGCAGAGGTCGGTGCAGGATGTTTGGGAGAGCAGCTGACCAGGCAAAGAGCATGAGTAGGTGAGGAAGACCCGGGGGGAGGGGGAGGTTGGAGAACCTTCAAAATCCTTACAAGAGGTTGACTTGATGGGACTCAAGCCTACAGTAAGGAGCCATGGATGGCTCTGGCAGAGAAATGACAACCAAATCCTAGAAAGCAACCCCAGTCCCATCCGGAGCAGTGCAGAGGCCCTCTGAGCACACCAGGCACAAGTGTGCAAGGAGCTGGTGCAAATGCCTTCTGTGTATGGGCCAGCTTCCATGTTGTGACAGCCCACGCGTGTGCTTCCATGTGCCAAGTGGCTGCATGCCCCAGATCCGTGCTGCACGCGCCAGCCAGTGAGAGTGCTGGGCACAGGGTGGTGGGAGTGGGAGGTGTATGTGTGTTGTTTATGAGCATGTGTGTTAGTGTGTGCATGCAGGGCCATGGGGCCTCACTGCATATGTGGGCACGCCTGGGCGTGTGCGTGTGTCCCCTGCCCCCAGGCCTGTCCCACTTGTGTGCATGTGAACTGCCCTGTTGATTTCATGCTGTCTTTCAGAATCACTATCAGTGACCCCTGAGGAGTGTCAGCCACGGTAGGTACATGCTCTCGGCCTGCTGCATGAACTGTGCGTTTGCCCCGCTGCACCAGCTCCATCTTTGGGGCACACCTGGGGACTGAAAGGACAGGTTCCCCCTCTCCCTTCTGCAGCTCCACACACCGTCTTCCTTTCTGTCCTCTGCCAGCTGGCTCTGTCACCTCCTTCTCAGCAAGACTCGGGACTCAGCGCCACTGCCCACGGTCTCTATAGCTGAGCCAAGGGCTCTTGGGACAGGCTCCCTGCCCAAACTGGCAGATAAGGTGCTCTCTGGAGCCACCAGAAAGGCCAGAGAGCTCATGGCTTGTGGTGTAGGGACTGGGAGTTTGGAGGGTTGCGTGTGTGTCTTGGTTCTGTGTTAATTAGAGGCCTAGAACCTCCAGGATGCCACACCCTGTCCCCAGTCTGAGCCCAGCTGCTGAGACTTGGAGCTCCAAGTCCTTCGCCAGCAGGGGTGACAGTCAGGCAGTGCTTGAGTGGAAACTCTGGTTGCTTGATGATTTCTGGAAGCCTAAGAATCCCATCCATATCCTCAGCCCACAGTGCACCTCACAGTACTCAAAGCAGGCATGGACAGGCCCTTCCCCAACTCCTCGGTATTGTCACACCTGCAGCTAAAGGCCATGTCCTCAGCGCCGGGTGAAGTACCAAAGCTACACCATGCACTTCTGAACTTGTCCTGTTGTTCCTAGGGCTGACTGTGCTTTTAGACAAGATTCGAAATGAGTTGCTGACCTGAGCCTGTCAGCTTCCAGAGTTCCACCCAGCCAGGCCACAGAATTTGCCCAGGGACCCCACGTGACACTCCTCTCTGGCCACTGACTCTCGCTCTTCTGCTTTTCCCCAGCAGGAAGGGCCCAGCCTCACCTACGCGACCTGCAGTCCCCCGACCAGCTGAGGCACCCCTCTTAGACTTATAAGTCTGGTCCCTGGCATCAACTGCTGCCCTTCCAGCCTCCCCAGGGTCCCCTCTGCAGACCTCCCAAGGGGCCTCCAGCACTCTCTCCAGCCACCCCTTTTAGATTGACCCTCCTGGCTCCAGCCCGTCTTCTTCCTCCAGCCTGGCAGCTGTTGTATGGGGCTCCCTGAGACTAGGGGTAGCCCTGAGCCAATGGGATGGAAGACAGGGTGACCAGAGAAGAGGGAGTGGGTCTGGATCTGGGTGCACTGCCTGGTGATGTGTGAGGCTGCGTGTATGGCACGGGAGGGATGCCCTGGCCTCTGCCCAGATTACTGGGGAGCTCCAGCCCACCGCCTCCAGCCCCCCATCCTCCTCCCCTTTCCCATCTGTTCCTCCACCTCCATCTCTTTTTCCAGAAGCCTCGACCATGCCCACACTGCCTCATCCCCTCCCACCGCTGCTGGGGCATGGCTGCTCTTGCCTTACCAGGTTTCTCCTTCCTTTTCTCTTCCGGTTTCTCTCTTGGCTTTCTCTCCAACTGCCAGCCGATCGGGTCAGGCAAGTCCGTCCCGTCCTGAGAGTCCCAGACCCCCCTTCGACCTCTAACCAGATCTCTCCTATTCCTCGGAGACCTCCCCAAAGCCTGCCTGGACGGCTGTTCTGTGACTTGACAGTGGCTCCCCGGCCCCAAAGCATCCCCTTCATCTGTGACTTTGTTGTAGTGGTGAGCTGACACATCCAGGCGTGACATTGGTGAACTCTTGTGCCCCTGTGTGGTATTGCTCCCGCCCTTACCTATAAATATCTATAAATACTCATATATATATATATATACATATATACATATATATGGCCGACACAGCCTCACCTCTAGTGTTGGGAATCAATCACCATGCTGTCCTTGTGGAGTCTTGTGGCCCAACTACAAGGGAACACTGTCACCGACAACCCCCCACCACAGTGTGCCACCTGCAGTGAGCGCTCTGTCCCGCTTGGCCTGTGGACAGCCGGCCCCTTGGTCATCCTTCCCGTGTCCCCCCACCCAAAGCATGGGGGCGCTGCTTTGGCAGCTGCGTGGTTCTCCGACCACCACCAGTCTTGCTGTCTCTTGGCTGAGAATAAAACCTGTACCTGGACGATGGGGAACCTGTGTCCTCGGCTGGCTCCTGTTGACTGCAGAGCACAGGGCTGGGAGTTGGAAGGAGGGTGGCTACTGGCAGAGCACCTGAAGAAGGCTCCTCCGCCGGCTGTGAACCCCCCTCTGGCCACTAGGGGGCCAGGCCTCAGGTCCAGCCTGAAGGGTGCTGGGCTAAGGGTGGCACAAGGGAGGGCTGGATGGGAGAAGCCGGCTGCCAGGAGTGGGCAGGCCAGGGCAGCAGGGCCAGTCAGGCTCAAGCCTGGCCCACTGGACGGGTTGGCCCTTGTGGCCCCCGTGGTGGTCTCCTCACCGTCATCAAGGACGTGCGGAAGATGCAGCACAGCCCTGCTGGACAGGCAGACGCTCAGGCTTCTCGCGGCCCCGAAGCCCGCCCTCTGCTGGCAAGACCCAGTCCCTGCTCCGTGAAACCTACAGGCGACCCCAGGACCCCAGACAAGGAGCACACAAGGCCAGGCTGTATGACTAAATTCATTTATTCCAAAGAAAAAGCAAAATAAACAGGAGCCGCATCACCAGGGCACCATAACCCCGTCCCCGTCTCCTTCCTCTGTTCTCTGATACCAATAAATAAGTTTCCCAGCCCCAAATAATTTTAGAGAACCTCCCTCCGGATTCACTGGCTCCAGCCTCTGCTACGATACAGGGGGCGACCCTCCCCCAGAATATACAAAATGTTACACAGGTACAGTATGTACACAGGGGCGGGAAGCCCACCCAGCAGCAGCCTCTGCCCTCGCTGGGCCTACTGCGCCCCAACAGTCATAAGGCCTTGGAGAGCGCTGCCCCACTGTCCTACCCGAAAGTGCCCCAGAGGCGGGCACCCCTGGTGAGCTGTTTCACTGATGCCTCACCGGCCCACAAAGGACCCAGCTGGCCTGCTCCCGAGTGCGAGCTGGGGCTGGGGCCAGCACTGCCTCCCACGCACCAGCCCTGGGCTCCATCCACAGAACAGAAAAGTGGAGCGCAGCTGAACAGAGGGTGCCCTGAGACCCCATCACCATCACCTGCCCACAGGGAGCCCTGCCTGTGCAAAAACCTGGCAGAGGCTGCCCACTGTCCTGCCCCAAAGTGCCTGAGCAAGAGAACGGGGGTCCCGCAGGGAGACCCTGGCAAGGGCAAGGGCGCCACCTGAAGCCCCTGGCCCTCCGAAAGCTGCCGCTAAGTAACTGTGAGCCAAACAGAAGTCCAGAGTAAGGCCTGCACCTGGCCAGCACGGCGAAGGGTCTGCACCTGTCTGTGTCCCCAGTTAGACAGAGGGTCTTTTTTCTTTTCACTTCTTTCAATTTTCTTTTTCAATATTTTATTTTGAAAAAAAAAATTTTAAATTTCATTTTTTTAAATTTCTTTTTAGTTTCTCTTACTACTTTAAAGATAAAGGCAGAGTGGGGGGACAGCCCTGCCTGCCTCTCCAGGTCTGGTGCCCAGTCTCTTCAGATCACCATGATCTTCACCTCATCGTTCTTGTCTGCCCGGTAGAAGAAGGGGATGCAGGGGTTGCTGCCCAGGCCTGGGCGCTCCTCAGGGTTCTGGATCTCACGCAGCAGCTGCATAATCTGCCTCGCCGTGGGGTTCTCAGGGGCAGAGTCCAGCCCAGTGGCTCCCTGTGCAGGCTCAGCGCTGTCGGCCAGGCTCACCTCGCGGAGGTCTTTGGAGAGAGCACGGGGATCAGTGGTGTGCTGCGCTGCGCTGCGCTGCACTGCCCTGCCCTGCCCTGCCCCGCCCCCCGCCCCGCCCCCTGCTCACCACCCTGCTCAGCCATGGCAGCACCAAGTTCATGGGCATCTTTGGTCCCTGGAGGGGGCTCCTCAGCAGGGCTGCGGGCAGCTGCCAGGAACCTGCCGTGCCACTCATTGCGCTCACCCACCAGCCTCAGCACCAGCTCCTGCAGCTCCAGCAGCTTCACCTGGAGGGAGAGGTGCTCAGTGCCTGCCCAGCTGCACAGCGGCCCAGCCGGCCAGCCGCAGGGTGCCTGGGCCCCACCTTCATCTCTTCCTTGTCCTGGGCCAGCCGGCTGATGTACTCCTCCTTCTCCCGGTGCCGCTCCTTCAGCACTGCCCTCTGATTTTGGTAGAGGGCAATGTACTCCCCTGCAAGGAAGGGTACAAATGCCAGGGCTCCCGTGCTGACCCCTGCACCCCACCGCCGGGCCCTGCTGCCTGGGGCCGTGCCCACTCACCAATGGTGTCTGTCTCCCCAGAGAGCTGGATGCAGCGATGCTCCAGCTCGTCCACCCGTTCTTTGAGCTCTGCCTTTTCCCGCATGACCTCCAGGAAGCGGCTCTGGAGCCAGGACAGCAGGGTCAGACCTGTGGCCACTGCCCAAACCACCCCTCCCAGCCCAGTCCATTGGAACAGACTTACCTGCAGCTTCTCCATGGCCACCTGTAGCGCCTGATGGCTCTCCACAGGCACACTGTCACCTCCACTCCCGGGGGCCAGGGCCACCTTCTCAGGCTCACTCTGAGATGCAACTGCCAAGTGGACGAGGCGCCGGCACTGAGCTCTCTGCTCCCTCAGCTGCCCAAGCATCCGCACCTGCTCTTCACGGGCACTGGCAAGAGCTGCATTACAAAATGCCACCTGTAGGAAGAGGGGTGGCTGTGCTGGGGGACTGGTCAGGGCCTCTGGGGGCCCCTTCCTTCCTAGGGGGATGGCATCAGGCCACTGGCTCCTGGGGAACCTGTGCAGGGGATGGAGAAACCAAAGAACTGGGGTGTTCAAAAGGACCATGGGAAGGCACAGAAAGGGGGCTGGGGAAATGGCTCAGTAGAGTAAGTGCTTGCCTGGCAAGCCCTTTAGGAAGGCAAAGAAGGCAGGACAGGGAAGGAATAGTCAGCCTGACTCACCATGGCCTCTCGGCTGTCTAAGTCCTCTGGGATGGTCACATCGGGCAGAGGAGCCTCCTCCTCCTCCTCCTTGTCCTCCTGGTCCACCTCAGTTCCTGTGGGAGCAGCCAGCAGGTCCTAGCTCACCTCTGCCACCTTACCCCATGGCATCCCCTGGGCCACTCACATCTCCCCCTCCCTTCTCTTTTAACCATGAGTCCTCCTCAGTCTCCTCCCTCCGCACAGCTTCACCCACCTCCATGGGGCAAGGCCAGGAGGCTGAGCTGGGCCTGCAGCTGCTGGTTTTGCTGGGTGGTGGCCTCCAGGCGCTCCTGCAGTCAGCAAGAAAGTGAGCAGATGTTGGATGTCAAGGTGGCAGGTCCTCCCACCTGGCCTCAGCAACTCCCAGCCTCACCTGCGTCTCCTGCAGCTCCTGGCGGGCCCTGTCCTCAGCCGTCTTGCCCTGCATCTGCTCATGCTGCAGCTGGTCCAGGAGCTGAGTGTGCACCAGGAACTGCCTGTGCAGTGCCTCCTTCTCGGAAGCCACCTGCTGCCAGGCAGCTGCATACTGCTGCAGCTGGGACAGAAGTTGCTCTCGCTGCTGCTGCAGACCCTGAACCTCCTGGTTCTTCAGGTCCATCTGCAGAAGACCGTGGGTGTGAGGCATGAGACATTCTGTTTCCTGGTTCTGACCCATGAAGAGTGGAGGTAGGCAGAGCCCAGGCCTTCTACACCCAACCTCACACTTTGGAACAGCCCTTCCCAACAATGGGACATAGATTTTTTTTTTTTTCTTTTTCTTGGGTCTCACATGTAGTCCAGGCTAACTTTGAACTTTGTAGCCAGGCTGGCCTGGAACTCTGACAACCCTCCCGCCTCAGCCTCCCAAATTCTGAGATTACAAGCATGTGGCACCACACCCAATTGTACCACTTGGACTTTAGACCCCAAATGTGATGCATCAGAGGGAGCTAACCCACACCTGCTAAACACCCTCTCTTTGAATCCTCCAAGTCTCTGAGGAAAAGGCTAATCTCCTTTGCAAGCCAAGGAAACAGATTAAGTGACTGGAAACACTGAAACTGACAAAATCCAGCCTGAGCCCAAAGGGCCTCTCCTCCTGTGGCCAGGGGGCCCAGGCCTCTGGTAGTGAGGCCATCTGGACCAGGAGAAGCCCAGGCCTGCCCACCTCTAGCAGTCAGAGGCAGGCAGCAAGAATGTCACAGGATGGGCTGGTGAGATGGCTCAGTGGTCTAAAGCACCTACTTACAACAAGCTTAGCAAAGCACAGGGACTGCGGTTTAATCCCCCAGCACCACATGCCAGCCAGCCCGCCCCCTGGTGGGCTGAGCTGGCCCCACACACACACACACACACACACACACACACACAATAAATAAATAAATAAATAAATAAATAAATAAAAATAAAAATAAAATGTAAGAATGTCACAGGATGGCTCTGCAGATGCTGGGATCGCCTGTCCCCAGACTGCAGATGATCTGTCCTGGCCTCCATGGCTCCCATCCCCTGGCTACCACCCATCAGAGCCCAGTCTCATGGGGCAGGAGTTACCATGTCTGTGAGCTCTGCCAGCTTCTCCTGCAGCTGCCCCAGCTTCTTGGCCAGCTCCTTCTTAACATGCTGCTCTGACTGCAGTGCACTGGTCATCTCCACGTTCTCGTTGGTCTACAGGAAAACAAGCCATCAGTGCCACTGACGCAGGCAGACCTGGACCCAGACTGGGGGGGCCACAGTACAGGCAAGGATGGAGAATCATCCTCTCTCCCCTGAGCAGGGTTTTAGCTCATGCAGCATCTACCGATGTGATGTGCCCATTTCTAAGGGGGAAGACAAAGGCCCAGAGGGGTGTGTTGCTCGGCCCCGAAGGACTTGGCGCACCAGCCTAACAAAGCCGTCCTGCAGCTCGGCCAGCTGCTCCTTCAGCTCCCGGTTCTGCGAGACTGCGCGGCTGATGGTGGTGCGGTCACTCTGCATGCTCTCCAGGATCCGCCTGCGCTCCTCCGCCTGCTCGCCCCACACCTCGGCCTCACGCTCCAGCTGCAGCAGCCGCTCCTCCTGCTCCCGGTTCAGGCGACTCAGGCTCTCATTGTCCTGCACCTGGGCTTGGAGTTGTCCTGTCAGGCGCTCCACCTCCTTCTGCAGCTGCTTGGCTTCAGCTTGCAGCCGCTGCTCCTCCTCAGAGGGCCCAGCCGGAGGCTCTGGGCCTGGGGGCTCCACTGGGAAAGGAAATAGGCAGTCAGGCTCTGGCGACTCCAGCTTCCTGCAACACTCTTCTCAGCCTTCAGCTCCAAGTCAAGCTCCCTGCCCCAATCCTGGCTTCCTAATGACTCCTCATAACCCACTGACAGCTGCTCCAAAGCTACTTCCCAGTGTGGCTGGCAAGCGGACACATGGCCCTCTCTGTAGATAGACACACTGAAGCTCAGAGAGATGACAAGACACGCATCCCCTGGCACAGGCCCCTGGCCTCCGCCACAGTGCCCTGAAGCCTAGCCCACACCTTGGGGAAATCTAAGCCACACCCACAGCCTGGGCCCTACCTGGGGCGCTGCTTGCTCCCAAGTCATTCCCATCCCTGCTCACCCAGCTGGCTCCTCAGTTCAGCCACACTGCTCTCCAGCTCCCGTATCTGACTCACGCTGCGCTCCTTCTCCTCCTTCAGTGTGTGCACCTGCCCAAGGTACAGGGGACAGTGGAGGGACAGGGGCTGGTGACCACAGGCTTACTTCCCTTCTGGCCCCACTGCCACAAAACCCACACACAGAGCTAGGATGGTGGCACATGCTGTAATCCCAGCAATCAGGAGGCTGAGGCAGGAGGATTGCTGAGTTCAAAGCCAACCTGGGCTACATAGTGAGTTCAAAGCCTGCCTAAACTACAGTGAGACCCTGTCTCAAAAAGAACCCACACACAGAAGCACACAGGAAGCAGTCCCATCCCGGCTGAGCAGATGCCCAGCATGGCCATGCAGTGTGAGCCACCAAGGGCCATATGCTTCACCTGCTCTGACATCTGCCGCATCCTCTGCTGCCACATGGACCGCTCTTCCTTCCGGTTCTCCGTGTACTGCTCTCTCTCCAGCTGCAGTTGTCTCAGTGATTCCGTCAGCTGCAGGAGCATCCAGAAGGGAGGAAGCGCTACCGCCAGTCCTCACCTGCTGCCGGCCACATGGGCCCATCTGCCTCCCACACACCTTCCTCTGCGAAATCTCACCTGCGCCACTTGTGTCTCCAGCCGCGCCCGGTCCTCCAGGGCCTGCTGGAACTGCTGGTCACCGTCAGTGGATGCAGACCCACTTGAGAACTGGATAGAGAACGATGACGTTTAGACCTGGGAGCCCAGACCGCTCCACCTGCAGCCCCCGCAAGAGCGTGCTAGGAAGGTGCACACTCCAGGCTCCTGAGCACTGACAGTGAAGAACAAGCCCTGCCCGAAAGGGAAGGGAAACAGACTCCGGGCCAGCCAGCAGGCCGAGGCAGGGGGATAGCAAGTTCCAGCCCAGTTTGCGTAAGTCCATAACTTAGTGAGACCTTGGCTCAAAATGAAAACATAAAAAAGGCCTCAGGATACAGCTCAGTGTAGAGACCCTGCATGTGATTCCCAGTACCACAGTACTTTAAAAAAACAAAACAAAAATAACACTGAGGGCCGGCCAAATAGCTCGGCAGATTAAGGCACCTAGTTAGGCAGAGGGCAGTGGCCAGGGTTGGCATGCTGGGCTGGTCCCGCCCCTGGGGCACACTGAGACAGCAACTGAGACTGGGCATGGTGGCGCCCACCTATAATCCCAGCTCTTGGGAGGCTGAAAATAGGAGGATCACTACGAGTATGTAGCACAGGCTGGCTTCAAACTCATAGCAATCCCCCTTCCTCAGCTTTGGAGTGCTGGGATTATCTGTGTACACCATCATACCTGACTCCTCCATTCCACAGGTCTGGGCAGGACCCTCATTTATCAGTCTCTAGCTATCTCTGGGCGAGTGTACGGCAAATCTTTGGGTCCCAGAGAGGGCGGTAGCTGCAGGGGCTCGGGCTGCCCACTGCAGCCTCTTACCTGCTGCAGAAGCAGCTCAGACATCTCCAGCTTCTTCTGCAGCTCGTCCACTCCCAGCTGGCTGGCTGCATTCTCTGCTGTGAGGACTCGGAGCCTCTCTTCTAGTTCTGAGTTGTGCTGCTTCAGATCCTCATTGCTTTTGCTGTAGTCAGAAGAAGTTGCCGTGCAGGAAGGAATAAACCAAGAAAAGAAACGAGCGCTTCGATGAGCAGCCTGCTACACTCACCACATGACCCAGACTGCCGGCATCAACGGGACTCTAGCAATCAAGAGTTACAAGTGGCAGGCCACAGAGAGGACTGAGTTGCCCAGGGATGCGCCAGTAAGCAGGGGCACAGCTGGGACAAGAGCTAGTTCTACACACATCCCAAGCTATATGCCCCTCCCTGTGCTCATCTGAACCCCACTCCCCACCCTGCGTCTGTACTGGAGCCCCAAGCAGCCCAGCCTCCGTTTCCCCTCCTACTTGTTCTTGAATAACTCCAGCCTGAGGGTGTCCCGTTCCTCCGTTAGCTCCTTGTTGTACTGCCAACACAAGAAGTCAACTCAGGGTTGGCAGGTCGAAGAGGGGGCCAGCACACAGACCACAGCCACAGTGACACTCCCCCCTCAACTGCATATGACATCTCTGCCAAGCTTTTCCATGCTGGTCCTGTGGTATATGTTTTCCAGTACTAGGAGTTGAACCTGGAGCCTTTACTCTAAGTCCCATTATTATGCCGTTTTGTTTTGCTTTTTGAGAGAGGGTCTCGCTATGGAATTCAGGCTGGCCATGAACTCCCTTTGTAGCCCAAACTGGCCTCAAACCCACACTGATCTTCTTACCTCAGTCTCCTGAATGACAGGTTTTTAAGTGTGCACCACCAACCCTAACCCTAGCCCTTCTCTTAGGTTTTATTTTATAACAGGGTCTCGCTAAAAGTCACTAAGCTACCCAGGCTAAGCTCTATTTTGCAACCCTCCTTGCTCAGCTTCCTACAGTGCGAGGATCATAAGCATGTGTCAACGGGCCTGGCTCTGTGTGCTCTGGTAGGATCTTGCTGTGGGTGCACAGCTGGCCCAAAGGCCTGGGGCAAGCTGTCATCCTGCATCAGCCTCCACAGTCCCTGGGACCACAGGCTCAGCCTCCACTCCCTTATGAAGCAGTTACTGTCATCTCCATTTTGCAGGTGACACACAGACACCAAGTGCCTACCTAGGATGCATGGAAGGCAGAGCTGCGCTTTGGACACCCACGTCTAATTCTCTAGGCCCATCTTACGTTCACCTTTTGATTGAATGGCACATTCTCGTAGTCTGACTCTCTCAGAAGTAAAATGTCTCTTAGCTACCCTGCTCCTCTCCCTGAGTCTATGAATCCTCTCAAACACAGTTCACATAAATCACACACACACACACACACACACACACACACACACACACACACACACGGCAACACAGTCAGCTCCTCTGGACCTGCAGAGCCCAGGCCTCACATCCATGCCCCTAGCCGCTGGCCAAGACCATGGCCACTTAAGGGCCAGAGCCGGCAGCTAGTGCTCCAGCTCCACATTCAGGGCTCACTCTATACAGCACCCAAAATTGCCCACAGCAGCCAACTCAACCCCAGGCTATTTCTAACAACTATGTAGCAAGAAAGGCCCGTGGTGCATTCCGACCAGCCAGGCCTCCATCCTACAGAAGGAAGAGCCTTCTCTGCCCCCTCAGGGATGCTGGGCTGCTGGTGGCTAGAAAGGCAAGGGGCTCACCTTTTCCACCTGCTTCTGCTGCGTAGAGACAGCAGACAGCGTCTTCTCCAGCTCTCCCACACGCTGCCTCGAAGACTTCAGGCGCCCGGCAAGATCTTCACACTCTCCTGAGACAGAGGTCGAAATGAGCCCCAAAGACCCCCTTCACCTGCGAAGCTCAGAGCAGGGTGCCAGGTGAAGGAGGAAGGGGGTTCTGACGGCCCACCTGCTTTCTGCCTGGCTGCCTGCTGAGTGTGTGCCAGGGCAGTGTGTAATTCTGCCTTTTCAGAAACCAAGATGCCTATGGTCTGAATGTGAACCTTTGGAAGAAAAGCCAAATATGCATAAGAGAGCAAAGAAACACTGCTGGGGGCTGTGGGGTGACCATGCCTCCGCTCACCTGCAGCTGTTCCCGCAGAGCCACCTGCTCCTTTGCCAACTTCTGCTGAGACTCCTGCTTCTCCTACAGCAGAAGGAAGAAGTACTTCTTACTGGGGAGGGGGCCCACAGAGATAGGATGGCTAAGAGAATGCCCCCAGAATGCTACACGAGACTAGATGATCAGGGACCCTGCGGGGATCCAGGCTGGGGTTTGGGTGAGGTGTCTCCAGGCTGGAAGAGAAGAGGACAAGCCCGGGCTCCTCCCTCTGCACCTTCACCCCATCACCCCATCCCAGCAACCATGCAATGAGCAAACACAGAAGTCACATTACTTTTTCCAGCTGCTGCACAGTATCTTGGTTCTGCTGTTTCTGTGGGAAGAATCAAAGGAAGGTGACTGGGGCTGGCCCCTTTACACCACTCCCCAGACCAGAAAGAGGCAGGCAGGGGCTGGGGACGGATTTGAGGAGACATCCTCAGATCCCACAGGGAAGTGAACAACCACTTCCTCAAACTCAAGGAAAGAGAAATGGCTTTTCCTTCCTGCTGGGCCACTGAAGGTCTGAATCTAGGCTTTTTTTTAAAGATGAAAACATAAGCTCTAGAGATGAAGAACACAGGTGACCCCCCACCAGCCTGTAGCCTCAAGGGTGCGTTCACTGAATAGCCGAGCTGTCCGGTGGGCTGGGGACCAAGCTGAGTGGCAGGAGTGTGAGGAGGAACACAGATGCCACCCCTTTTCCCTGCCATTCTCGTGACAGGGAGCCCTTACATCTTCACTCCTGGGCCCAGAGAGAGAGCTCAGCAGAATAAGCACTTGCCCGGCAAGTGCAGGGTCCTGAGTTCAATCCCCAGTACCAAAAAAAAAAAAACTTCACTCTTTCGGGCACAAGAGACTTGGGCCACCCTCTAATTCTATCTCTGCAGCAAACTCAAGTCTAGAGGAAAGGCAGCTCATCCAAAATCACAGCAAATTAGGGCCTGAGCCAGGGTAGGACATTCCACTGAGGTGACAACACAGGCCAAGTAGGACGAGGAGTCAAGCAGGGGTGTCTGGAGGACAGAGAGGAAGCAGAGGGTGGCAGGAGACAGCCAAGCTGCATGCTCTGTGCTCCGGGGTCCCTCCAGCTGAGACTTAGGCCCCCCACTACCCCATTCCCTTTGGCACCAGGGGCCCCCAGCCCCTTTCTTCAGAGCCCCAAGGGGAAACTGGAGCCCCAGTTGGCAGCATGGACTCAGGGGAACCCACTGGACTCTTACCAATTCCTCTATCTTGCTACTGAGTTGTTTGTTTGTTAGATAGCTGGAGTCCAGGGCTACTGCTAGCTCTTGGTACCGGCTCTGAGGCGCATGCAGAGAGGAGGAGGTGGAGGAGGTTGGGGGGAGAGGTAGAGAGAGCGTCATTAGGGTCAGGGGTGTGTGGGCTATCTCAGCTGGCAGTGGGGCTCCCAGGCCCCATTGTGGGAGGAGAAAGGGAACTGGCCTGCAGGTTCACTGGGCCACAGTTTAAAGTCACTCACCTCTAGATCCTTCATGTTAGCAGATGTGAGGCCCTCCCCATTGACGTAGGATGTTGACTAGAAGAGAGGAGAGGCTCTGTCCCCGCCATGTCTGAGCCTTCCAACTTGCTCTCCCTTGTCCTGTCAAACTCCTTCCTGCCTAACGTGGCCCCTCTTCCCATAGCCCCTGTGCCCACTTCTTGTGATCTTGGCCCCCATCGCCCACCCTGCGATGGGGGACAGCTCTCATCTTACGCTTTCTGCACCAGGATAAATGATGTTACCAACTGTGTGGTCCAAATCCTTCATCTGTACAGCTTCAAGGGACAAGATTCAGGGACAAGGGGACTCATCCAGTGCTACCCAGCACACTGGCTGGTCACAAGCTCTCTTGCTCTCCTATGAATCACTGCCTTGGTTTCTAAGACACCACCCTTCCCCCCTCGCAGGTTCTGGACCCCAATGGGTACCTCAGACAAAAGACCATTGAGCTGCTGGGAAAGTTGTCGCAGGCTCTCTGTGGATGAAAAAGTCCTAGGGATGGAGACACAGGGTCAGGGGTGTAGGCACCTGGATGGGTAAGAGGCTCGGGGCATAGCCTGCCTGACCCCTCAACCTGGGCATCACTGCCCAGGCAAGAAACACTCACTTGGTTTCATCCATGACATTAGGCTCGCTGTCAGCATCATAGTTCTGTTTGGAAAGAGACACAGGTGTGATTCAACTGGTGAGCCAGGAGTGGAATAAACCAAGCTCCCTGAGACTTCCTTCCATCTCCCAGGACCTCCAGGAAAAGCCTCATCAGGGCCTCCCCAGCCCAGACCCTGAGGAGAACATGTGGCAGTAGGGACCAGGCTGCCTGAAGAGAGACGAAACTCCGCAGAGGGTGCAGACTTCTGGGAAGACAACGGGATGAGACACGGGAAGAAAGCAGACCAAAGGGAAAGGGGACAAACCTGAAGTGACGCCACACTAGTAAGAGTAGTGCCTGAGGAAGGGACACCGCCAGGTGACACAGTGTCATAAGCAGCAGAAGGTGGTGCAGAAGCAGCATGGTCTTTGGGTGCCTGTCACAGAATACAGCTGGCTTTAGGGGCCATGCCAGAGAGAAGAGGCCCAACTGCCAAGGACAGAAAGGGGGTGGAGCAGGGAGGACAGCACTGCTGCAGTCAAGAGGGTCAGGCACACGTGCTGGGAGCCCTGGAGGTAGCATACGGCTCAGCAGGCTTCAGACCACATTTCACATGGCCAAAGCTCAGAGCAGGGATACAGCCTCCTTCTGGGATCCCTGAGGAGCTCAGCAAAAAGATGGGCCAGGCTCTGACCGAGGCAGCCGTACCAGGGGAAGGTGTGGGAGGCACTGTTCTTCCAGAGAACCAGCCGGTGCCTCAGTGACCCTGATGACCCTGGGTCCCTGCTGGCCGCAGGCTGGTGCGATGGGCTCAGCATCGTGGCTAATGTACCTACCCGGCCTCTCCTCTCCACACTCCCTCTTTTCTCCCTTCCTTCTGCCTCATGCCGAAGAACTGCCTGTTTGATTCATAAACAACCTATACATCCATGGAATACTATCTGCCCCCAAGGGGTCATGGGGCCACCTCCCTAGAAAAGCAGCTGGGAACAATCCTATGACTTGGAACTTGAGACCACGTGGACACCTCTCCCACTCGCTCAACTAGACACCCCTGCTTGGCCAGCTGCACCCCACTGATCCCCAAGTTGAGCCTCAACCTTAGATAAGAAATTTCAGGCTCTAATATCTTCTAATATCCATGGGCCAGATGGGCAGAGAATGGGAATGATGGGACAGCTGACATCTGACAAGGGACAAGCACTGGGGTGCCAAGGCCTGTGCTGGGCTGCTGTGCATGAGGAGGAAGCAGCTGTCTCTCTCCACAGAAAGGGCTGCCTGCTATCCAGACCCCTCAGCCCTGGCCCCTGAAAACACATGTTGACTTTCTCCCACACAGAAATGCGAGAGCCCAGAAACACAGAATGAGCCACTTCCTTCACGTTTACTGTGACCATGGCCCTGGAACCCAGTGTCCCTAATATGACTATGAGCCCAAGAACCTGGTGTTGCCTTGACAACACCTAATAGATAAGAGCTGAGGTACCGCAGCTGACACGGTGTTAGGGGAGGCTTCAGTCCTAGCCACAAACCCTGCAGGCTCTTTTTTTTTTTTTTTTTTTTATCATGATTTTTTTGTTTGTTTGTTTGTTTATTTATTTATTTATTTTGTGTGTGTGTGGCCAGCTCAGCCCACCAGGGGGCGAGGCTGGCTGGCATGTGGTGCTGGGGGATTGAACCGCAGTCCCTGTGCTTTGCTTAGCTTAGCTTGTTCTAAGTAGGTGCTTTAGACCACTGAGCCATCTCACCAGCCCTCCCTGCAGGCTCTTGATCCCTCCTGTCACCTTGGATTCCTACTGATCTCTGAGATTACACCCAGGAGTACAGGGGAGGGTATTTTTCTGAGTATTTTCAAATATACTTAACATGATTATTTTGTGAGCAACCAAGTCAATTTATAATTTTAATTTTTTGTTCTTTCACTGTGTATTGGGGATAGAACCCAACAGCACTCTACCAGTGAGCTATATTCCCAACCTTTTTAATCATTTTTGAGACAAGGTCTCGCTAGTTGCTCAGGCTGGCCTCAAATGTGTGATCCTCCTGCCCCAGCTTCCAGGATAACTGGGATTACAGGCCTGGGCACCCAGCTGCCCATAATTTTAAATCTTGCACTTAAGTGTGCCCCAGTTTGTCTGAGTTTACCAGGTGAGACACAGCACCTGAGCAGACCTGACCTCCCAGCCAGGAACACCGTGATGACAGGAAAACTGTGGAGCATCAGCCAAGGGGCCCCGTCCATCCCTTCTCCCATGCCTAGCTCCTTGAGCATAAGATCCTGGGGAAAGTTAGCTAAGGAGGATGTGCCAACGTCACATTCGGAAGAAGCCACTTCCTCGCCCTCTAGACCCAGGCTCTGCATCCCCAGAAAGTGCTCTGTGAGCTCTTGATGCTGCCATGAGCTTAGCTCTCCCTGGCTCCACCCCCACTCTCCCTGGGGATGAATGTGACCAACCTTTTACCTTGAAAGCAGCCTCAAATGCCACTGGAGTCCACTGAGCATTTGAATACTGCCACCTTATCCCCTGCTGTTTGCAGAGGTCTCTGTCTGTACTGTGGGCACCTTATCTTGCTCATTTATGTTTACCATTATTTATCAGAGTACCTTGCTACACAGGGCCCAGAGAATATGGCTAAGTGTCCTCTGATTTGTAAAACAGATTAGGGGCAGAGAGTTCCGGTCACTCAACTGCCTCATAACCACACCTTGTGCATTCAGTTTCTCTGAAAAAAAAATTAGACTTAATCCTTGAGACTCTAAGCACAAACTCTTTCTCTTAACTTTCCTTTCTTGATTTCAAACCAAGATAAATTAATTCCAAGAATGCACAAACTTCTACAATCTTCCAATCTACCAATCTACCGATCTATCGATCTACCAGTCTTTGAAGGGTAGAAGCCCAGAGGGTGTGACCCAAAGGCGTTTTGTTAATTTCTCTCATTCTGATAGCACCTCACAGGACATTCAAAAGCCAGGACCCCACACACTTGCTCTGAAAAGTTCCCAAATTAGCTTTACCCTTAAGGTATGTGTCACCTTCTCCAAGAGGACAAAAGATGTGGGGGACAGAAAAAACACCCAGTCAACCAAGCAGGTGAAGAAGCAGACACAGGCAGGCTGAGGGTTAATGGCAGCAACATAAAGTAAGCCAGCAGCAGAGGATCCCCAAACCAGAGAAGCCTCAGGGGCATGCACAGCTGGGAGAGAGCAAGCCAGAGAGGGGTCTGCGCACTGCCTCACCTGCCATCTGTCCAATGAGGGGAGCGCTACCCCATTGGAACGGTTAAGGTCGGACACCAGCACCTTCAGAATGTCCTGAATCTACAGGAGCCAAGAAGGGAAAAACAAGGGCAAGGGGAGAAAGAGAAAAGTGGCTTAGAGAGGCAAGAAAATCAGGGAGGGAAGAAGTGGCTCAGGGAAATGGAATGCTGACGAAGAGCAGAGGAGATCAGTACCAGGACCAGGGCCACCTTCCAGTCACGTCAATCAGGGTACCCAAGGAGGCAGGAACGCTGTCCCGAGTGATGGAGCCAACATCACTGGAACAATGCAGCCCTTCTGTGTACATGAGACCCTCTCCTCAGACTCAGGATGGGGAAGGCATCTAGAAGGGCTCCTGATCCCCATCTCTGAAGGGGATCACTGGGAACACAATGGACTACAGCTTAAAATTAACTCTGAAAGACACTGAGGATCAGGAGAAAAGGTGATTTTTGTGCTGACCCCAGCAAGTTAATGGTGAAGTGGATTCAAAACTCTGCGGCCTGAGGCTCCCCTCATCATACCTTGAGGCTCTTTCAGAGAGTCTGGCCAAGTGGTTGTTTTCCCTGGCCTGGTTTCCCTTGAGGTTGAGGAAAAATCAAATAATAACTAGCATTTACTGGGGCTGGGGATTTGGCTCAGTGGTAGAACGCTTGCCTAGCAAGCTGGAAGCCCTGGGTTCGGTCCTTGGCACCAAAAACAAAACATAAACCTTCCCTAAAAAACAATTCAACCAAAAAAATACGGTAAAATCAAAAACGACCAAAAACAAACAAGGCAACTAGCATTTACTGAAGGTTTACTCTGCCCTAGGCCCTAGGGAATTGACCTAAAAGCTACAACAACCTACTTAAATTTCACAAGTATACATAAAATAGTCTCTCTGTGGCAGAGGTAGATTACATATATATTTGTTTTCTTTTTAAATGCTGAGGATCGAACCCAGGGATACTAGACAGGTACCATACCCACTGAGCTATAGCACGCCTAGCCCTCAAAAGAGAATTGTAACCAGTACTACTTTTCTCATCTGAACCATGATCCTCCACTGCCACGCGAGCCCCTACCCACCCCCGAGTCTGGTCAGCCAAGACTCACGTCTTCGGGTGAATGGTCATCACCAGCAGTGCTTGTCTCAGGGTTACTGCCATTTTTCAGCTTTTTCTTCTTCTTTACTACTGCAGGACCACCAGGGCTGTTCTTCTGCTGAAACTCTCTCAACTACAGAAAGGAAAAGCAAAGATACTCACAAAAATAAGCCTCTGTTTTCATAGCCTCCTGCAGGGTGTTTTTTGTTTTTTTTTTAATTAATTAATTTATTTATTTATTTATTTATTGTGTGTGTGTGGGGGGCCAGCTCAGCCCACCAGGGGGCGGGGCGGGCTGGCATGTGGTGCTGGGGGATTGAACCGCCGTCCCTGTGCCTTGCTTAGCTTAGCTTTGTTCTAAGTAGGTGCTTTAGACCACTGAGCCACCTCACCAGCCCCTCCTGCAGGTTTTAGTACTCCTCTATCAGTTGAGCATGAAAGCACACTCTTGTAATCCCACCATGAAGAAGGCTGTGAGTGACCCTGTCTCAAAAACAAAGGTCAGGCATGATGCCACAGGCCTACAATCCCAGCACTTGGGAGGCTGAAGCACAAGGAACACCACAAGTTCAATGTTAGCCTAGGATTCATGAGTACAAGGCTAACGTGCACAGTGAGACTGTGTCAAAAGACCACAAAAAAAAAAAAAAAAAAAAAAAAAAAAAAAAGCTGTGTGTGGTGGCACAAGCCTGTAATCCCAGCACTTGAGAGGCTGAAGCAAGAGGATCACTGCAAATTCAAGGCCAGTCTAGGCTACAAAGTGAGTTCAAAGCCAGCCTGAACTGCACAGTGAGACCCTGTCACAAAAAGACAAAAAAAGACAAGTTGGAATGCTGGTGCACACCTACAATCCCAGCGACTAAGGGTATGTTATAGCAGGTAGTTCAGCACTCCGTAGACTTAATTCTTAGTACTGGGGCCAGGGAGATAGTTCAGCAGCATAAGTGCCTGCCTGGCAAGTGCAAGGTCCTGAGTTCAATTCTGGTACCGAAAAAAAGGAATCTTTAGTACCAAAAAAAAAAAAAAAAGTAAAATAAATCTTAGCCTGAAGGACCTCAAGTCCTTCAGGGAAAAAAAAAAAAAAAAAAAAAGCAGTAATTGGGCTGGATGTAGCTCAGTGGTAGGGCACTTACCTACCATGCTCAAAACCCTGAGCTCAATCCCCAGCACCACACCCCACACACATAAAAGGTAATAATGGATTTAAAAATCAATCTTCTAACTTCCAGCTCTGGGGTTTGCCATGAATCAACCACTCCCAGTGAGCAAAGCCAGAGGTAGAGGTGGAAAAGTAAACATTAAATACGCAGGAACTGTACATTTGATGGTTTAGAAAGCAGACATCCGGGTAATTTCTTTCTTTACACATCTATTAGTGCTACATACCAAGATTTCTCAAACTTCCATCAATGTGCCCTAAGAAAGGGGCAGTCAAGGGCCAGGGAGATGGCTCAGTGGAATAAGTGCTTCCCTGGCAAGCGCAAGGGCCTGAGTTCAATCCCCAGTTCCACCAAAAAAAAAA